CTTTGTGTCAATTTCAGCTACAGTATGCTGTATGTGAAGGATTACAGTTTAATACCAAATCAGGGAAAAAGGTGAAATACTTGAATGATTTATAGATTTTTTAATAGATTTCAAAACCTCTATAGGTTTTTGAGTATTATAATATTTTAAACATAATTTTCTAAATAAATAGAAATTAAATTTCCACATGGATAAATATGAGATTTTAGGAGAAAATAATAAAAACTGCATTTATAAGGTCATGACACTAGCTAAATGAAATAAAGACAACTACCATGGGAATAGTATATAATTTTGAAGGTGAATTTTGAATATGAAGACTGATACAGATTGACATCCAATTACAATAAAGACCAGATAAGGTAGGGTAATAAGGGCTTCTTCATCCAATCACAGCTTATAGGAAGAAGAGAACAATGTCCAGCATAGTATCCATTAGCCTCATATGGCTATTGAATACTTGAAATGTTGGCTAATTTGACTAAGGAACTGAAACTTTAATTTTACTGATTTTAATTTACATTAAAGTTTTTTTAAAAAAACAGGTGACTAATGGCTATAGTATGGGACAGCACTAAAAACATTTCCATTACCACAGAAAGTTCCATTGGCCAGAGCTGACCCATAAATTAAAAAAAAATTACATTTATTCCTCTTTGCTAGGAAAATTCTCTCTTATTAGTAAGCAATCTTAGCAAGATGGTTAGAGATAGGTTCAGGATGCAAATACCTATTGTATTTCTATAGAACAGCAACAAAGAGAGAGCTTAAAAGTCATTTAAAATAGAAAAAAGAAGTTACCTAGGAATAAATCTAAATAATGATGTGCAGAACATTTATGGAGAAAATAACACAACATTTTTGAAAGAAATTAAAGAAGTCTTGAGTAAATGGAGAGATACATTTTGTTTATGGATAGAAAGATTCATCATAATGATGTATATTTCCCTAACTTTATTTATATGTTCAATATAATTATGAAAAAAATACTTAACAGAGATCCTGCAGAATGGTTAATTATGAAATTTATATGAATGCTCAAATAGACTAGATGAGATATACCTAAAAAAATCCATTCATTCTGAAATGGCCCTGGAAAACTTAATTATTCTAAGGAAACAAAGAAATTGGATAATACACACAAATCAATTCTAGATGCACTAATGGCTTTGAATACAGAACAAAGACACATAGAACTCTTAGAAGAAAATTTGCTCTTTCCATATAGCTTAAGCTAAGGAAGGACATTTTAATAAGAAAAAAAGGCACTAACTTAAAAGATAAATTTTATTTCATTAAAATTAAGAGCTTCTATTTATCACAAGACAACACTGAAAAAGTTAGAAGACAAATCATAGCTTATCTGTGACTAAATATAAACACAACTACGTATGGTTGACAAAGAATTATAAGCTTGTATTTAAAGAACAATAAGAAATAAGTAAGAAAAAGGTAAACAATAAAGAAATGGACAAAAGATGTTCTCTGGAATTTCACAGAATAGGAAACATAGGTAACTATTAGGTAAGTGAGAGGATTCTCAACCTATCGGTAATTAGGGAAACACAAATTAAAACTGTTATGGACTGGATTGTGTTCCTTAAAAGTCATATGTTGATGCCCCATCTACCAACGCGGCTGTTTGGAGATAGGACATTTAAAAACATAATTATGGTTAAATGAGGTCCTAATTGTGGGGCCCTAATCTAGTATGACGTGTCCCTGTAAGAAGAGGAAGAGACCCCAGAGCTGTATACACACAGAGAAAAGGCCCTGTGAGAACCACAGCAAGAAGGCAGTGGTTACTGCAAGTCAAGGGGAGAGGCCTCAGGAGGAACCAAACCTGCCAACACCTTGATCCTAGACTTCTAGCCTCCAGAACTGTGGGAAGATAAATTTCTGTTTTTTAAGCCACTGAGTCTGTAGATATTTTGTTAGGGCAACCAGAGCAGGCTAAAGTAAAGACCAAAACAGAATTTATACTGACTAGATAGGCCATTCTAACTGGTAAGGCTACAGAACAAAAGGACCGAAAATTGATTCCATGACTTGGGAAAACATTTTGGCATTATCTTTTAAAGTTGGATATTTGAATTCACTCTTAGTATGTCTTCTCTTATGTTAAAATAAATCTTGCACAAGTGTACCAGGCAACATTAAAATAAATGTTCATGGAAGTACTGGTTATAATAGATCCAAAACAATCCAAGTATCGTCGATGCAATAAGAAACACATTTTCTATATTTATACAATGAAATATTATACAGTAATGAAAATGAATGAACACTAGCAAATGGATGAACCTTAGAAACATAATGTTGAGTTAAAAGAGCAAGCCTAGAAGAATAAAGTATGGTATCAATTTTATAAATCTCAATAATAAGTAAAATCACATAAAAATTAAGTGAATGTTGTGGGAAGGGATAGACTGGGATTTCAAAATTGTAGAATAGATAAACAAGATTACACTGTATAGCACAGGGAAATATACACAAAATGTTATGATAAGTCACAGAGAAAAAAATGTGACAATGAGTGTGTATATGTCCATGAATGACTGAAAAATTGTGCTGAACACTGGAATTTGACACAACACTGTAAAATGATTATGAATCAATAAAAAAATGTAAAAAAAAAGATTAACTAAATCTTCCCATTAAAAAAAAAAATTAAGTGAATGTTGAACATAAAGCCAAGGTCTGAGTGATATTTTTGCTGAAACCAGGAAGGTGGGATCAGGGTAGAGTACAGAGAGAAGATTCAGCAGTTTTGATTCTAGTTCTTAGTTTTGGTGGTGTGTTTGCAGGAGTTTATTTTATTATTTTTCATAACTTACATACATTTGAATATATTCTTTTGTATATTATCTAATAATATTTTAAAAATCGAAGTCCAGTAGATACCAAAGATAACCCCTAGACCTTAATTATAAAGAAGAGAGTCCACTTTGAAACAACATACATATTTACTCATAAATCTTCTGTAATTGGAAACTTCAGCAATGAATTTCTTCCCCCTTCATGTGAGGACTTTATGTTTCATAATGAAGCTTTCTACTTTGGGACAATTTTCCATCTTTATTTAAGTGATACAAGTCCTTTGGCTGCCTAGAAATTTTAAAAACAACTGATAACAACATTCCTGCCCCCAAGAGAAAACAGGAAGAGGATGCAGCAGGGGAGGCAATGTCATATATTATGGATAAATACATACAAAGACAATATTGGTACAAAGCTATTTCTCCATCTAGCAACTCTGAATTTTATCAACAAGTACCTATACATGTCAAACACTAAAAAATATAATTTATCAAGTATAAGTAGATTTCCTGTTATTTTGCGATGAGTTCCAGGGTAATTTTAGATTATTATTTCATACCTGAGAGAGTTTATTTATGTGTGTTTGTGTGTGTCTTTGGTTTTGTGGAAGCTTCACTATGCTAAATTTTACATTTCTTTCTTGAGTTAAATGACTTTTATTCTCCCTTGGGAATGCAGAAGAGAGTGATAGTAGATTACTACCTACCTGTGGAAAAGTATAAATAGCAATTTTAACAGCTAGTGATTCTGAAATTGCCCTTAACTTTGTCATTATAAAAATGCTCCCCAAAAATCATGTTTTGCATGTCAGGGGATTTTTCTATCCATATTCAAGTCATTTATGTGGGCAAAGAAGGTTGCCTTCCATATCAGAAAACAGAGGATGTTGTGGCCATCAAGCCATCAGCCACTGCAGCTGCCCCATCTCAACCCTCCTGGCAGTGCACCCTCAGGGGGATTCAGGACAGAGAGAACAGAATACTGGCCCTAAACAGTGAAGATGCATATTAAAGAAATGATTTCAATGAGCCCAGACTCTTACATCTTCTCATACATAGAAGAATGCTAATTTCATTAACTTGATATGTCTGGTTTCTTTAATTAACAGTAATGGTTTGATGTTCTGACTATCTGGTTTTTGTTGCAGAAACTCCTATAAATACTGGCTCTTCCTTTACCTTTTCAGAACAGTCCCTCAGGGCTCTCTGAGAGGCTGTATCCCAGCTTATGTCCTCAGTAAGTCCCCTGAATAAAACATAGTTCTCAACTTCTAGGTTGTGTATTTTTTTTTTAGTTGACATTTAATAGTATGTCTCATGTAGCTACTATGCCTAAATGTAATGGGATGAGCTGCAAATGATTAAAACTAGATAAATTCTGTCAGTTCTATCAGTAGTTGGAATCCAGACTTTCATCTCATGGATACGTCTGCCATAGACCTTGGCAAATATGGGGTCTGTGTTGGTCTTAAAATAATCCTTAGACTCATTCATTCTTTGAACAAATTTTATTGCTTACATTTGATGTGTCATTACAGTTCTGGATCCTGAGAATACAGAAGTCAACACACAAGAAAATAAAAAGGCTAAAACACACGTTCCACCATATTAACTTTTTTTCGTTCACTCATTCATCTGTAAGTCATTCAACATGTGTCTTCATATTGAGCACTGATTGGGGGTCAAGTGCTGTGCTGAACACCAAGTGTATAACTGTAAATGAGATGGATAGGCCCTGATTTTGATCTTTTGTCCTGCCATATAATGGGACATCTTCATTACTCCCTTTACCCTAAGTTTTTATCACAAATTGCTAATGAAAGTAAAACTATTAGTGGGGCTTGACAGGTAAAGGTAAATGAAACAGAACTCCTCTTTCCATGCGCCATTTTCCTCCAGCTCCCTATGTGAACTCACTTTGTGGCAAGACCAAGAAGATGTGCCCCAAAAAGAACAAAGCTGATTTCCTCACACCATTGACTGGGGCTGTTCTTCACTTAGAAGGCTTGATGCTTAATGATTTGTCTTGGGAGAAAATATCAAAAGAGTTAATCTGCTATTCTACATGCCTAACCTCCTGGGATTAACCACAGGCACAAGGATCGCTAAGTGTACTTGGCAACAACGAGCTAAAAATGGAAACAAAGCATCATACTGTTATTTTATTCATTTTCCCCCGAGGTACTTTCTGAAAAACACCACAACCTCCAAGGGATTGGGACCAGCTTCCTTGTAATGGTATGTTATATATCCATCTTCTTCCAAGCAGTTGTATCATACTCAGTTATCAGCACACTTTATTTAACGTGGTTGAATGTATGAGATTGTGTTCCTACCTGATTGGAAACCTTCTTGTCCTTACTTCATTGGCTCTACTGGATCTTTTTTTCTGGGATCAGACTTTCAGATTTCTACCAGAAATTGCTCCCTTGGGGAAACAAGGCCTTCCCCAAAACTCAGGAAACTGAAACGGAGACAGCAAAAGAAAAAGAAATTACTTGTATAGATAGATCTCAATTTTTAAATTTTAAGTAGATATCCAAGCATACATCTTCTAAACAGTATAATAACTTAAGGGAAATTCATGGTTTATAAGTTTAAGTACTCAAAAACAGAACATATTATGATAAAAGTACAAGTTGTATTTTTTCCTCAAGTCAAGCAAAGACTTCAAAAAAGATCCAGTTATCCTTTGTTCATCAAGGCACAAAGTCAGTGCAAAAAGGCAAGGTTCTAAGTCTTTTTCTTTAAAATGTACTTCCTCTCTTAAGTCTTCACCAAGATCTTCTGGAAATTATTAATTTGACTAAACTTAATTATTCATAAAATAAACATAGGAACCTGCAGAAGGATATTTCACAGAGACTTGTAATGTACAATACCCATTGCATACATGCACCACAAGCTTGTATTTTCTAGCATCGTCATACATAAAAATGTGTGTGTGCCCATGTCCGTCTATTTTTGAGATGGGGTGGTGGGGATAGGATAAATCTGCTGGCTGTTAGTGATTTAGAAAGATAATTACTAGGGTAAAGGGAAAGCTACAGCAAGTAAAGCAATAAAATCTTGAGGTTGTATTTCCATAATAACGATAGCAGTTTTCTGAGTAACCAAGGGAGCAGTCTCCTCAAATTTATGGTGACACCTGTTACAGACCATCTGCTCATAAATTTCACACTATCATTAATGGAAAACAAATGGCACTGTCTCTCCTTCCCTTTATCCACTGGTCATTCTCACATAAACTATTTTTTCTCTTCAAGGTCATGCTCTTTCCTATCTGTTTAAAAACATTAGGATCTCGGAGGAGTGACACATAATGTGCCATGCCTTGATATTTTTACCAGTGATGGTTCTGTAAAGAGCACTGGATTGTTGGGAGGTTATAAATTGTTGGGGGTAGTCTTAGGTGGAATTCCCCTAGAAGCAGAACCTGAAGCAAGAATTTGATAGCAAACTGTTTATCTGGGAGATGCTTCCAGAAAACTCAGAAGTGGAGTGGGAATTGAGAGTAGAAGCATGGAAGGAAGCCAAAGGAGGTGCATTACTGAACAGATTGTCCTGCAGGGAGCTGTTGTCAGTCCTTCAGGGGAGTTCTTGTGAAACTCTACAGAACATGCCTAGGAGCTATCCCAAGGATGGGTGAGGAACTTGAAGTACTTATCTTCCAATCCCTCTTTGTCCTTGGTTGAAAGCTCCAGCCAGATATATTAACTCCTGGACACTTCTGGCCTGCCCTAAGGTGGATAATTGCAGGTGACAGCATGATTCTATCAATATACACTGGAATGATGAGTGCAGGGGAGATATGAGTGGAGCACTGGCACCATCTGATACAATGGGGACAGGAGATATCAATCACTGGCTTGCAAGTCCAGATGGATAACCTTAAGTTTCTGGGTTAATGGTTTTACTTTAAAGTATTTAAGCATGATGTATCAGTAAGAATTTCTTCTGTTAAATCAAGTCTAGGTTGCTAAGTCCCTAATCTTCTGGAAAACTGTGTGTATCTTTTGACAATTTTTTAAAAAGTAAAATGATTAAGATTTCAAGTTGACCATTCACTCATTTACTCATTCAACAAACATTTACTGAACATGTGAAATATGCCATGGGTTAAGCTAGGCACCAGCATTACTGTTACTAAAATCATTATATTACTATCTCGAATTCAATGTATTGGGACATCCAGATGAGTAAATCCATAGTTACAGTAAAAATTATTACAGACTGCTATAGGAAAACACAGTGGGACCTTAATTCACACTGTAGACAGTAGTATATAGGGGATATCAGCAGGGCTTCCTATAGAAGGCAATACTTGAGATGGATAAGTAACATGAAGGAGAGGTGCATTTTTGAGGCAAAGAGAAGATAAATTCATGGTTGCAAGGAAATGAATGGTGAGGGATCAGACCAGAAAGGAGTTTCAGGAGTTCCAGTTACAATCAGTATAAGAAATGTTCACTGGAGTATAAGAAAAGAAGCCAATGTAGAGAGTGGTAGAAGCCAGCTCATGAATGGTCCATGTATGTATAGTAAGTGCTGTGGTCTAGTCTTTGTGTCTCCCTCCAAATTCATATGTTGAAATCTTAATTTCCATAAGTGATGGTATTAGTAGGTGGGTCCTTTGGGAGGTGATTAGGTAATCAGGGTGGAGCCCTCATGAATGGGGTTAGTGTTCTTATAAGAGACCCCACAGGACTCCCCAACCTCTTCTGCCATGTAAGAATATAATGAAAAGTCTCTGACTCAGCAGAGGGACCTCATCTGACTATACTGGCACCATAATCTTGAACTTCCAGCCTCCAGAACTGTGGGAAATAAATTTCTGTTGTTCATGAACCATCCCACCTATAATATATTCCTATAGCAGCCCAAACGTACAAAGAGTTAGGATGTGAGATTTTACTCCAAGGACGAGGGGTATCCATTGAAGGATTTTAACTGGAAACTTAGAAGAGAAGAGAGAAAAGTTGCATAACATGATCAATTGTTTTTATAAGAAAAATTCGTTTGTTTCAGTTTTAGAGATCCCTCTGGAAATACCGTGGCTGGATTGTTGGAGAAGGCTGATGGCAATCCTGAATATAGAAAGATGAATTAGTAGTGGCCCATTAATATGAGTCAAATAAGAAAGTGAATATAAAATGTGTGAATTTGTGACTGACAATTCTTTTCCTTCAGTACTTGAAAAATGTTATGCCAAGGCTTCTGACTCCATAGTTTCAAAATAGAAACATGCTGTCCTCGGAACTGGTGTTTCTCTATAAGTAATGCATTGTTTCTCCTTGTCTGCTTTCAAGATTTTTTTTCTTTGTCTTTACTTTTCAGAAGTTTAATTATGGTGTGTATCTTGGCAAGGGTATATTTGTGTACTTCTTCCTCTTTGCTGAGATTCTTAAGTGTGTACATTTATGTCTTTTAAAAAAATTGAGAACTTGCTCTCTCTTTTCATTCTGGGACTTGGGTGATATGAATGTTTGCTCTTTTGTTATTGTTTACAGGTTCTCGAGATCCTGTTCCTTCCCATTCCACCTCCCCGTCTGTTTTTCTCTGTTTTTCACATTTGGTACATTCTTTTGTTCTCATGTTCATGATTCTAAGCTTTGTCATCTCCACTCTATTCTTGAGGTTGTCTAGCAAGGTTTTTATTTTGATTATTGTATTTTTCAGTTCTATTATTCTCATTTCTTTTTACTGTTATAACTTCTAGTTCTTTGCTTACATTTTCTATTTTTTCCCATTTCTTTCAAGAACACATAATTGCTAATTGAAGCATTTATGTGATAGCTTATTTAGAATCCTTGTCAGATAATTTCAATACCTGTTTTGTCTCAGTGTTGATGCATGCTCGTTGTCTTTTCTCACTTATTTTGTGATTTCCTGGTTCTTGGTATCATGAGTAATTTTTGGTTGTATTCTAAACATTATGAGTATTAGATGATTCTGAATCTTATTTAATTTTATGATTCCTTTTTTAGCAGGAAGTCCCCCTATACTGAGATGTAGTAGGAGGGCTGGGTGAGGAGATATGTACAGTTTTCCACTTGGCCCTGCTGACAATACCCCAGCAAAAGTGGGCACTTACGTTGCCTTACGGCAGACAGAGTAGAAGTTCAGTTCTCCTATTGGCTTTTCTGACACCTTCCCCCAGAAAGTGGGACCATTCATTTCATCATGCTGCTTCTAAGTGGGAGTGGAGGTTCAGCTTCTCAATAGATTTCTTGACACCAGAGGAGGGAGAAGTGAAGTGTTAGCTGTGTTTCTTCCCACCACCTCATTCTGTCTTGTTGATGCTGGGTGTGGGCAGAGACGCAGCTACCTGCTGGGTCCTACTGACACCAGGGTAGGAGGAAGAGAACTGCCAACCAGCTCTGCTTTGTGCCATCTCATTCTGTCTTATTGCCTCAGGATGAGTATGGGGATTCAGCACCTCACTGGGTCTCACTGACACCAGGTGTCAGGGGACAGCGGAGTGCCTACTAGCTCCAACTTACAACACCCTATTGTTATTGATGTCAGGTAGAAGTGGAGTATAAGCTCCCCCACTGGACCCCATGACTGTGGGGCAGCTCAGTGGTAACTGGCCTGTCAAGAACCACCTTTTTAAGTCTCTTTGATGATGGAAAGGGATGGAGGCTCAACTCACACTGGACCACCTGGAGACAACCCTGGTGGGGGAATCAGAGCACTGCCTCTCCTAGAGGGCAGGAGTTGGGTAGTGTGGAAGATAAATCCTCGTTTGGACCAACCGCAACCACAGGGCATGGGGGATGGTTGCGATATTTCCATTGACATTTGGCTCAAGTAGTGTGCGTATTGCCAAACAATTTTCTGTTTTTAGCAACTCCTTTCCTCATACTTTGGCAAGGGGAAACAGGGAAACGGGTTTTTTTTTTTTTTTGAAGCTTTTTGTCTGTTCTATTGGTAGTTATGGATTAGAGGCTCCTGTAGTACCTGCTCCAGGATATATAGGAAGTAATAGGAAACATAGGGGACACATCACCATGTTATTCCCCAGGTCCCAATGTCCCTAGTAAGTCTACCTTCTCATTTCCACCTTTCAGTGTCTTCTTATGCTTGATTGTTGTTATGTTCAGGGTTTTAGTTTTAAGTGGGAGAAATGGGCTACTTCATCTTCTTGGAAGCATAAGTCTAGAGATCTATTGATGTTAGAAAGTACTGCTGACTGTAAATTGAAGTTTGATGATGTACAGTTTGCCCTTTAAGAATTATCCTGCTAGATAATGTGGCTTCCCAAAGTTGCTACAATTTGATTTTCAGACTTTTAAAAGTCAAATATTTTGCTGGAGTTAAAGATTAAAGAGAAGCAAGAAATTAGACTAAAATTATGTGGTAATAATTAAAGTAGGAAACATTAATGTACATTCATATCTAGCTTAATATTGCTTAATATTAGTTTAATGCACATGGTTATATAGAGAGATATTTAAAGCT